ATTTTTGTTGACCTTTGTCCATGGAAGGTCCCTGCAAAATTTCATTGAAATTGGTTCAGGGGTTTTGGAGAAGAAGTCGAAAATGTAAATTGTTTACGGACACACGACGGACGACGACGGACAAAAGGCGATCGCAATAGGTCACTTGAGACTTTGTCTCAGGTGACCTAAAAAAACAAGAGGCTCATGGGCCTTAACGGTCACCTGATTTATGTAAAAATTGATATTATCGATATTGCCAAATGAAAAAGGAATTCATTTTGTAACAAAGGTAACTTGAACTACATGTATGTAATGCAAAAGTGGTGTGAAAGATCTGGGTAGTATATATGATACTAACAATACGTACTCGGTACGATAACTAGTTTCATTATTTATATAACCGAACTTTTTTTGAGAAGGCAATTAACACGGAAAGTTAACCTGGTAAGAATTGCAACGGTCACTTGTCTACGATCAGAGTTGTACGGTGTCTATATAAAGATCTAATTGTCCGTAACATAATTTTGAATAAGAGTTTATGAAATATTCCAGAGATCGTTTTTCACTAATTTCTGTATTTAAAAAGTAGTCACTCACTTCTCTGGAAATGGTACACATATTGTTAAATTCTCGTTATTTTTAGAGGAATAGAAAATTTCACATACATCTGATTAACAGAAAGTAAAAATAAAACGTAGAACAACATGGAACTCTTCTTCGTTTGATAAATAACACAGTTTTCTTAGACTCTGTGCCTTAAGTTCATTTTTGTTTTTACTCCATTCTCTTATCGTTGATAGTTAGCAACTTAGATTGGGGAAATATTACTGAAGCGACGAATTTCAATTTTGTGATATAGGTTCGATCTTGTTTACCCGTACTTTTTCTGTTTCCTGAAAAATACGTTAGAAATTATCTTATTTATTATAATACATATCTATTGTAATAGTCGAAATGAAAAAAATGTACATTTATACAAATATGGTAATCGATGCTGGTTATCACTTTTGTTGAGCACGTGTGAAGTTTTCGAAAGTAGTTTCCTATTTATATTCCATTTGTATTTGTATATGTATTATTATTCTTAAATGGAAGAAATGAAGTTTATAGCATTTGGTTTGGAACGCTGGCATTGAAAGAAACGTGAGATCAACAGATGGATGCGGATTTGTCTACGGAATATACGGCGGCAGCATTTTATATTATTATAAACGTTTCTGGGTGAAATGACATTCGTTGGAATTTTATTAAGTATTGATAATACATAGTTTTAACACATATCAGGATCATTTTGACACTATACCAACGTATGAAAATGGATCACAACGTTAGTTTGAATTTTTATAAAAA